CCCCAGACCTCTCCGAGGTTGCGGTCGGACCAGAATTTCGCAGCAAATCCCGCGGAGGCCCAAAATGGATTTGGTCTCTTCCATCTTCTGACATCCTCCCTCCTCATCCCCTTCCTCATCCCCTTCCTGATCCCCTCCTCCTCCTCCTCCTCCTCCTCCTCCTCCTCTCTCATCATCACATCATCATCATCATCACATCATCATATCATCATCATCATCATCATCATCATCATCACATCAGCATCATCATCATCATCATCCGCCTCCTCCTGCTCCTCCCTTCTCCTCCTCTCCTCCTCCTCCTCCTCCTCCTCCTCCTCCCCTGCATCCTCCTGCCTCTCCGCCTCCCTCTCCGCCTCCCTCTTCCGCCTCCTCCCACTTCTCCCACCCTTCTCCTCCTGCTCCTCCTCCTCCTCCTGCTAATTACCCATGGGGTCGGTAAAGTCGTGTAGAGCTGGCAACCAGACCCCCAACGGCCGCATCCTTCTAACCCGATCCTCCCCTCTGCGTAACCCCCTCTCTCTCCTCCCTCTCTGGCCAAAAGGTTCTCTCGTTGTCGGCGCAAGGAACCACAAGCCACATCCAATCTTAATGGATCAATATTTGCCGCTGTGCGAACTCATCATGCCACTCCACTCCACTCCACTCCACTCCATTCCATGCCGTTCCATTGAATTCCATGCCTAAGTGGACGCCGCCGACACCGCGGCAAACCCAAGGGAACCCTTGCTTCCCGCGAAACTCGGCAGACGCAAGCGGCTTCGCGGCAGGCCCCACGGCAAGCCCCGCATCGGAGGCGGAGGCTGCCCCGGTGGCCGCGGCGCCCTCTCCAGAGTGGAAGGCCGCGCGTCGGAACAAACGCCGCGGCGACCAATCGAAGGATTGCAAAAAAAACAACAAAAAAAACCTTGTTTTTTTTGCAATCCTTGGTTTTTGTTTTGCAATCCGTCGTTTTTGTTTGCAATCCTTCGTTTTTTTTCTCAATCCTTCGGACAAGAGGCTTTGCGCTGTGTTCGGCCTCTTGGGGCCCTTACCAGGCATCGGGGCCGTCAAAACACGGCTCGGGATCAAGAGCCTGTCCAGGGGAATGGGCCGAGACCTCTGGGGATCTCTGAAGGTCGACGTTCTGAAATTTCCTGGAACGGACCCAACCCATCTGCACGTGAGGCGACTACCAGTGTGAACTCCTCACACACGAAAAAATCCATTGCGACACGTGCAACGCTCGGGAAGGCAATACAACGCTGGGCCACGCACCCCGCACACCTGCGCAACATAGAACGGGGGAAGAACGTGGAGGAGGAGGAGCAGCAGTAGAAAGAGGGCCAGGAGGGCAAGGTTACTTGCGAGGGAAGAGGGGTAAACGCTGGTGAGAGTAACATCGCCACGCGCTAGATCTGCTCGGTTCGCCTGCGCTGGCGTTGCATTTGACGGGCGCCTGATAAGGGTGGGGGAGTGGGCCACTAGGGACAGCGCCGTGCGCTACGTGAAGCTCCAGCGGACTGCGCTGTCTGATACAACAGCGCCGCGCGCTGACTGAGATCAGCCACCCAGGGATCAGCGAGGTCCCATCTGGGTGCGCGTGGCCCCCGATCCCGATGGAACCTCTTAGGAGCCCACGAACGTGGTGGCAATTGCGCAATTCGCACCCACTCAGGGAGCAGCGAGATCTAGTCTGGGTGCGCGTGGCACCCGACTCCGCTGGTCCTCCCAAGAGCCCACGAAAAAAAGTAACAATCGCGCAGTTCGCAGCCACCCAGGGAGCAGCGAGGTCCCGTTTGGGTGCGCGTGGCCCCCGACCCCGCTGGAACCTCCCAGGAGCCTAGGAAATTGGTAACAGCTGCACAATTCGCAATCAACCAGGGGCAACCAGGATTCGCAACAACAGCGCCACGCGCTGACTGAGGTCAGCCCCAGGGAGCTGCGAAGTCCCGTCTGGGTGCGCGTGGCCCCTGACCACGGTAGACCTCCCAGGACTCCACGCACGTGGTGGCAATTGTGCAGTTCGCAGCCACCCAGGGAGCAGCGAGGTGCCGTCTGGGTCTGGGTGGCCCCCGACTCCGCCGGACTTCCAAGAAGCCCACGAAAGTGGCGACAGTTGCGCAGTTCGCAGCCACCCAGGAGCAGAGTAGGAGGAGGCAGGACAAGCGGGGAGGCGGGAGGAGATGTGGGGACCACAACGCTCTACTCAAAACGAGAACCCAACACAGGAGGCTTGGGAAAGGAGGCCCAGCTGGGCGCCTCAGGCTGAGACGAAGCTCGGGACAGACTCGGATCGGGGACCATCGGAGACCTCCGAGATCTCCGAGGTCTTTCTAGGTGTCTGGCGCCGCGGCCGTTCTAGAGCGCTCCAGGGTGCCCTGAGAGCGTTCTGGAACGCTCTGGGAGGAGGAGGCGGAGGAGGCGGAGGAGGCGGAGGAGGCGGAGGAGGAGGAGGAGGAGGAGGAGGATGAGGAGAAGGAGGAGGCGGAGGAGGGAGGAGAGCGACTTCTCCCGTTCCTGTGCCTGCCGGACCGGCGGTCCCCGTGGGGGGGGAGGCGAGGTCAAACAAAGAGCGGCGGCGGAGCGAGAGCCGGGACCCGATGGGCCCCGTATACGGCCACGTCCTCCCGTGCCAGGGAGGCCAGGGGGAGGATGGAGGATGGGAGGACAGGAGGGGCCGCGGAGCTGCCGAGGAGGGAGGAGCTGCCGAGAAGAGCCGAGGAGCTGCGAAGAGGAGCCGATGAGCTGGCGAGGAGAGAGAGAGAGAGAGAGAGAGCGAGAGAGAGAGCGAGAGAGAGCAGAGCAGAACAGAGCAGAGCAGAGCAGAGCGGAGCAGCGCAGCGCCGAGCCGAGCCGAGCAGAGCAGCGCAGAGCAGCGACGAAGAGAGAGAGATAGAGAGAGAGAGAGAGAGAGAGAGAGAGCGAGAGATGTTTCTGGCCACGGTCGGCTTCAGAGAGAGAGAGAGAGAGAGCGAGAGATGTTTCTGGCCACGGTCGGTTTCGGTCACGAAGAGGTTCCCCGACCTAGACCTAAGGAACGGCCTGGGAACCTGGTCCTTCTTCCACTGTCCCAGCTATCATCCTTACCCTTGTCTCTGGACTGCGCAATGCAGGTGCAGCGACACGGGGCCCTTTACGCGCGACCTGGCAATGTAAAGCCCCCCCCCGACTTTCGGCGGCAGCCGACCGTGAGGTACACCCCATCGTACAGCTCCTGGCTTCCATGAGTTGTTGCACTCGCGGAACGCCTCCAAGAGGTCTCAGCTCCTCGTCACAGGTGCGCCACGGTGAGACCCCAATCGGCGTCGAGCCCAAGGGGGACGTGAGAGGGGACGGGCCGTCTCAGCAGGCGGCGGGGCGCCTCAGACGCCCGCCGCCTTCCGAGAGGCTCTCCGAGCCTCCTGCGGGGACCAGCGGCGGCATCTCAGAGGCCGGAGGGCCTTCTCGGAAGCCCCGCTTCCTGCTGAGCAGGCCTGCCCGCCTCTTCAGCCCCCCCCTGGACTCGCCACCGATTCCCATGGTGGGCCTGTTTGTCACCACCACCACCACCATAAGTTGGAGGGGGAGGGGGTCCTCCTCCTCCTCCTCCTCCTCCTCCTCCTCCTTCTCCTCCTCGTCCTCCTCCTCCTCCTCCTCCTCGTCCTCCACCTCGTTGCCCCCTCCAACTTCTGGTGGTGGTGGTGGTGGAAAACAGGCCCACCATCCCAGATGCACCACAGGGAGACTCCAGGTACCGGGGGACCGACTGAGGGGCCGAGGGAGCAGCCTGCACGGCATCCTCGCAACCTGGGTCACTCTTCGGCCCTCCGCGGCTTAGAATTCGGTCGAGCATGTCCCCCTACAGGCGGATGTTGGACGAAAAACAAATAATTCCCCAAACATGTTCCACAACATGGTAACAACAAATGGGAAAATCGTCACCCCCTTATTTTTCGACAATGTGTGGACATTCCTCCTAGAAGGGGGGACACGCGCCCGACGTACGACTAGGAGGAGGAGGAGGGAGCAGCCGCTCCTTCCCCCGTGAAGCTCGAGAGCTGTGTGGCCCTCGGTCTCCACCCCTCCCCTCCCGCTCTGGAAACTAGCAGCGTCGGCGTACGTCTGGTGCCGCCTCGGTCAGTTGCGCCCCGCTCGGGCGTCGCGGGCGGCCGCGGCTTGGGCTCGCTGTGGAGCGCTGCGGAGAGAGAGGGGGGGGGGGGCAACCGACCTTCTTGCTCGCGGCGGTGGCGGTGGTGGTGGAGCTCGGGGCTGATATAGTGGAGGCCAGTCCACGAGAAACCTTCCGCGAGAAGCCCAAGCCTGAGACCCCAGGGCGTCCATGCACTCCTGGCGTGGGAGCGTCACGCTTTCCGTCGCAGAACCACCGAAACCCAAGAAACCGAGAGGCAACCCGGAGGCAGGCAGGGTGCTTCTTGGCAGGGGTCTCCACTGTAAGGGGGGAGGACTTGTCCAGCATGCCGCCAGCTTCTTCAGCCCTCTGCTGTGCTCGCTGGCGCTTCCCAGCGAGCTGTAGGCTGCGGGTCCCGCGGCGCCTGGGACCCTGCACAAGCAAGGGGGCAACAGCCGGCAGCTTATGTGCCCCAGGCCTCTTGGGTATTAGCACTGTCTCCGAAGATTGGACAGACAGGGAAGGCTCCTGGATACGCTGGTGCCCAAATAAGAGGCGACGGCCTGGCATAGCCACGCGCTGGAACACCGACCCTGCGGGCAGGTCATGGGTTTGGCGGTGCCCTCGATGGGGTCACAGGCGCATCGAAGCCAGCTGGACCACACTGAAGACTCCTGCTGTTGAGGGGTAACGATGTGATGAAGATACGAAAAGTGTCCTAGCAATCTGGACGAGATGAGAAAATGGCATGCTACAAGCACGCTGCGCCAAATTGGAAGCCAAGAATAATGATTGGAGACTCCTGCGTTTACGAAAATCGTCCAAGTAACTAGAATGGACAATATAAGAAAACAGCATGCTGCCAGCACGTTGCGCCAAAGCAGCAGCGAATAATAATTATCTGTTACACCGAACGTCGGTGACGTCATGGAGCTTAAGCGCGTGGCACGCGAACATTGCTCCGTCGCTGCCCTCGAGATGGATGATCTGACCGATGACGTCGGACACGCCGAACACCATCGTCGTCAGCGTGAAGCCCACCGTGGCGAGCATGAGCAGCCAGTCCAGCGCGCGCAGCCGGCAAAGACTTCTCACACAGCCGACGTCGTCTTCGCTGGCCGATGCCGTGGTGGCAGTGGAGCCCGCATCCGACTCCTGCGCCTCGGAGCACCATCTAACGTCTCGCAGGCAGGCGCCGTCCTCGGACCCCTGCGGGCTGGGCGGCACGGCGGCCGCGAGGCGCACGGCCCGGCGGCGGGCGGCGAGGAAGAGGGCGAGGGGGAGGACGAAGTTGATGGGCCCCGCCAGCAGGCCGCCGACCAGACCCAGCAGCTGCGAGAAGAAGGGAACACTGTTCGACACCACGAAGCCGAAGAGCAGCATCGCGGCGCCCGCGCCGCCGTGCTTCAGGTACGAGGCGCAGGTGCGCTCGTCGCGGTCCCGCGGGGAGAGCACGCCATGCAGGTGGCGCGCCAGGATGACGCTCTTGATGACGTAGCCGATCACCACGTGAGCGTACAGGAGGGCGCTCGCGGCCTGCTGGGCGCCGTCGGGCGCCATGCTTTCCAGCAGGCTCGGCCCCCGCGCGTCTAGGAAGAGCCCCGCCAGTGCCACAGTCAGGTACGTCACGACCACGCAGGCGCACGACAGCGCAACCGCCCGGGGGAACTCGCTGGGCACGGCCATCGTGTCCATGAGCTCGAAGTCCGCCACCCGAACCCTCTCCGCGGCCGGCGTGTGCCCATTGCTCCTCCTCCTCCGCTCTCCTCCTCCCTCTTGCTCCCTCCTCCACCTCCTCCTCCTGCTCCTCCTTCTCCTCCTCCCCCTTCTCCTTCTCTTCCCCCTCCTTCTCCTCCTCCTCTTTTTTCTTCTCCTCCGTCTCCTCCCTCCTCGGAGGCGCGCGTCGGCCCCGAAGGAGACGCGCGTCGGCCCCGAATATATATATATATAATATATATATATATATATATATATATATATATATATGCCCATCTAGTAGCATATCGTTTCCCGAGCGGTGTGGCCAGAAAGCGCCCGCCACGACGCGTATACTATAAGATTTCTCAGTGCGCGCGTCGCGCCTGGGGGGGCGAACGGGCCCGTGCAGGATGCCCTGGTGGCTCCCCGTGCCCAAATGTGCTGCGCCTGCTCCGTCGATGCGACCACGGGGCCCCGAACAGGGAAATTTCTGCATCCAGAGAGCCAGTTTCGCTCGATACCTCCCCACCATCTTGGCGCGACCCGGCCAGTGAAGTACCTCCATGGTGGGTCCGCACTGGGGCCCCCAAAAATGACATGTCTGCGACCCCGCGGTGGCCATGGCAGTCTAAGCATGAACTGACGTTTGCGCATGAGGGTTCTGAACACGAGTGATTCTGAACATCAGTCGGTCTGGGTATATCCGGCTGAATATGGATGGGCTTGAATATGAGTGGGTCAGAGTATGGGCGAGTCTGCGTGTGAATCCAATGAGTCTGAGTGGTCTGTGCGTATGAGGCTGGGTATGGATGAGCTCAGTATGACCGAGCCTGAGTGTGAGCGGTCAGAATACGAGTGAGCCTTAGTTCGGCAAGGAGGTGGGAGAAAGAGGCGGGGGCGTCGTTGCACTACTCTGTAATGAAAATGTGTCCCCTACCCTGATCCAAGATTGCTTGTCGCCCTCCGCGGATAAGGTTGGTTTCACTACGGCGACAAAGCCGCTCCATTGACATTGCGGCCGACGTCTGACAATGGGAGACGACTTCGCCCACAGGCTACTGCATTGGCGCACGCGTTGCAACCTACTGACAGACATGTCGGGCCAAAGGACTCTTCAGCCTGGATTCCAGACGGCTACAGCACAGCCAAAGACAGGATACTATGAGCGCAACAAGCTGATCCAGCGGGAGGAGATCAGCCCGCGCGGCAACCTTCCAGGGAAAGCCACCGAGATGGAGACCCTCCTATGGCCCGAAGTCGCCGACCAGCGGAGCGGCTCCAAACGGTTTAGGGACCAATGGAAAAGAAACAACGATCCCCAAACCCCAGGAGTCTCCAACCCCCAGGAGCCGGTGGACGCCCGTGCGTCGAGACACGTCGCGCCCCGGCTCGCCCCCAGGAATCCAACACCAAAGAAAAAAAACGTGAACATGATGTTCCCCGAAATCGTTTCACGTCGCCCGCCACCCACGCAATCGCGCCCGGGCACAACCGTTTCTGCGCAGCGCACCCCTGAAGAATTACGAGAGCCCCAACCCCAAGCAATCGATCAATTAGTTTGGCGATTTGCCCCTTCCACCAATGAGGTGCGCCAGTGTTTGAGCCAAGGCCGCACGCGCGCCTCTGAAAAAAAGTTGTGCAGCCTGCCACATTGCAACCGAGACACAAGTCGAAAAAAAAGTCGCTGCGGATGCTAAACAAATATGGTAGCCCGCCTGGACCCCAAGCCCTGAGTTGTTGCACCGTGGCATTGCAAGATATGCGGTGCAAGCTATATGGTGTAAGCTATATGGTCTAATCTATGCCGGGTAAGTTACGCTGTGTGAGCTGTGGAGGTGATAGCAATGTGATGTAAACTATGCCGAGTAATACCTGTGGTGTGCTTTGGACGTGGAAGCAACGCGGTGCAAGCTATGCTGTCTGAGCTACCTTATGCGGTGTAAGCTATGTGGTGCAAGCTATGCCGTGAAAGTTATGGGGTGCAAGCTACGTCGTGCAACCTCGGCGCAAGAGGCGCCAACAAGGTGGCACGGGCGGCAACGCGGTGCGACCTCGGCGGGCCCACCCAGCTCACAGGGCGCCAACGAGCGCCCACGAGGCGGCACGAGCGGCAACGTGGTGAAACCTTGGCGGGCCCACCCAGCGTACGGGTCGCCGCCCACGAGGCGGCACGGGCGGCAACGTGGTGAGACCTCGGCGGACCCACCCAGCTCACAGGGCGCCAGCGAGCGCCCACGAGGCGGCACGGATGGCACCTCGGTAGAGCCAACCAGCTTACTGGTCGCCCACCAAAGCCCACGAGGCGGCACGGGTGGCAACGTGGCGCAACCTCGGCGGACCCACTCAGGGCACGGGTCGCCTACGAGCGACCACGAGGCAGCACAGGCGGCAACGTGGTGCGACCTCGGCGGAGCCAACCAGCTCACTGGGTGCCCACGGGCGCCCAGGAGGCGGCACAGGCGGCAACGTGGTGCGACCTCGGCGGAGCCACCCAGCTCACAGGGCGCCCGCGAGCGCCCACGAGGAGGCAACTGGAGCAACCTTGGCGGACCCACCCAGCGCACGGGGTGCCCACGAGTGCCCACGAGGCGGCAGACGTGGCAACGTGGCGCGACCTCGGCGGACCCACCCAAGGCACTGGTCGCCCACGAGCGCACACGAGGTGGCACAGGCGGTAGCGTGGATCGACCTCGGCGGACCCACCTAGCTTACAGGGCGCCCACGATCGCCCACGAGGAGGCAACGTGGCGGCAACGTAGAAAATCCTCGGCGGACCCGTTCAATTACTTCAAAATCGAAAGAAAGTTTAAGAACCCCAAAGTGCAAACACTCCGTGGAAAACAACTGCCCAAGATACACGGAACTGTAATACCACACGTCCTCTGGACGTAGGTGGTCTATCGAAGTCTGCTTTTCCTCTTCCGCAACCCCTTCTTCTCGGGGATGGGTTTACCCCTCCCCCTACACCCTGGAATCTGGATGGGAGGGGGACGGAAGTGTCAGAGGGTATTTCTTTCGCCCAAGATGGCTCCAAAAGGGCCTCTGGTGCTCGAATATTGCCTCCAAGATGGCTCAAGATAACAGAAGATGGTTCACGATAGTTTCCGACATACCTCCAAGAGGCCCCAAGATGGCCACAAGACGGCTCTAAGTGCTCACCCAAGGATCCCCCAAGAGTCCACAATCCTTCAATAAGCCATGCGAAATCAAGGAAACCTGCCTTCTCGCCTTTTCGCGTCCGATGGGCTTCTGAAGCCCAAGAGGACCCCCAGACGGCCCCAAGAGCGCCCCAAGAACGCTCCAAGAGGGCCCCAAGAGACGATGTTGAGGGCTAGATAAAGAACCCCCCCTTTGGCCTCCAAGATGGCCCCGAGAGGCCCTCCAGGGCTCCCAAGAGGCCCCCAAGAGGGATCCAAGAGGGCGTCAAGACCACCCAAACGAGCCCCGAGAGAGCCCCAAGAGGACTCCAAGAAAGCATCAAGAAGATCGGCTCTCACCGGCAGCGCTCGCTTCTGAACGGGCAAGCGGGGACACATGAAGCGTGAAGAATCCTGCCTGAGGGGTACACGCAGTATTGGCGCGAACGGGCCTGTGCCATACCCCCTGGCGGCTCCCCTCAGGAGGCCCGAGTGCCACCATGCCTGCTGCATCGCGGTGGTCACGGGTCTCTGAAGAGAGTGAAGGGCACACCGCCTCTTAAAACGATCATTGGGCCTGAGCGGTCCGAGCACGATGAGCGCTGAGTGGGCCTGAGCATGATGAGCGGGTCTGGCTACCGGTGACGACGAACGAGTGAGTCGGACTATGAGTCATAGTGCGGGCAAGTCTGAGAATGTGCGGGTATGGATACGAATGGCTCTGAAACTCTGACTTGAGTGAGTTTGACAGTGAGTCCGCGAGTCGGAGTCTGAGTGAATCCGAGTGTGAGTGAGACTGAGCAGAATTGTGACAGGACGGTCTTCGGACCTCCCCTGGGCGGCGCCCTGACGACGACCCAGGGACCCACCGTATTTCCGAAAGGCGGCCCCAGACTGCCTCGACCGGGCCCCGAGGTGGCTCAAGACCGGCCGCCAGTCTGCCCAAACGCCCCCCCCGCCTCCCAGACAGCTCCCAGATCCCACAGGACGAACCCCAGGACCTCCTCCTCCTCCTCCTCCTCCTCCTCCTCCTCCTCCTCCTCCTCGTCCTCCTCCTCTTCCTCCAACTCCTCCTCCTCCTGTCCTCCTCCTTCTCCTCCTCCTCCTCCTCCTCCTCGTCCTCCTCCTCCTCCTCCTCCTCCTCCTCCTCCTCCTCCTCCTCCTCCTCCTCTCCTCCTCCTCCTCCTCTCCTCCCTCCTCCTCCCTCCTCCTCCTCCTCCTCCTCCTCCTCCTCCCCTCCACCTCGTGGGCCCAGGAGCACCCCCCAAGCTGGCATCGCACCTCCGAGTAGCCTCCCCGAGGGCCCGCTGGGGTCCGAGAGGTGCCCCCGAGAAGCCCCCGAGCTCTGGCGACGTCGGCTGGCCACCTCGCCGATCCCGACCGCATCCGTCCTGGGCCCAGCATGGGCCTGGCCGGCAGGCCCCGAGACATGCCCTCTCTGGCCATCCTCCCGCCGCCGTGCTGGCCCCGGGGGTGCATCAGCCCCCGGGGCCTTGGGGCATCGCCGAGGCGCGGGGTACCTGTCGTTGGTTCGTTGCGCCCGAGAAGGGCCCCCTGAGAGGCCCAGATGTCGAGTAGGAGATCGGCCGCAGAGTTGGTTTACCCCATTCTTTATTCTTCTCGCAGAATCTACGAAAAATGCATCGACTGCAGGAGATCTTCGGAACATTATACGCACTCGTTGTAGATTCGACGGACGATCACTTTTGGGGTAAACGAATGCTGCAGCCGATCCCCTGCTCGAACGAGAAGCACCGAGAGACAACGGATCACGCATGGCTGAAGCCGTGCCGTGCCACAGCGTCCCTGCACTCCTTCCCCCCGAGCGCGGCCGTGGATGCGCGCGGCAGCGCAACGGTATACATCCACTGCCCAGCGAAGCCGTAGAAGATGTTGGTGGCAGCGCCCAAAGAGCTCAGGAAGCTCAGCCCGCCCGCGAAGGCCGGGGGGCCGTTGAAGCACGGCCGCCTGGGCTGCCCCGCAATGCCCCACAGTGCCACCGCGATGCACCCCGCGATCAGGAAGTTGTTCACAAGGCCCAGCCCTGCAGAGTCGCGTAGGCGGCGCACCGCGAAGAGGGGGACGATCAGGACCAGGCAGGCGGCGGCCACCGCATCGCGCAGGCAAAGTTCGGAGTCGGGGGCAATCATCTGCGGTAGAAGAAGAACAAGCGGCATAGACATAACCTTGTGGCGCTCCGCGCGGACTTCGTGGATCTGCGCTGCACCCCCCTCCCTGGCGCGCGGAGCGCGCCAGGGGCTGCGCCAGAGGCGCCGCCGGGGGGGCGGGGGGGCCCAGCGCGGATCCACGAAATCCGCGCGGAGCGCCAAACGTTGACGTCTATGCCAATTTTTTCCTCTTCGATGTAGGGAAGTGCCGAGCACCAGCAGATATGATGAATTCCCCAGCAGCGTGTAGCCGTACACCACAGTGGACACGGCCGTCCCGCAGGAGCCGCGGCGAAACGTGTGGCCCGCCACCTCGCCCATCGAGCCGAGCGCCGGGGCAGCCTGCGCGGACTCCAGCCGGGCCGTCAGGAGCAGCAGGCGCCGGGTCCTGCTCATCAGCACCGACACCTGGAAGGACATCGGCAGCATGGCCAGGATGAGTAGTACGGTGAGGACGTAGCCGAGGTCCCCAGCCACGCCCGAGAGCGTGAGGACCGACGTCCCGACAATGTCCGAGAGCATCAGCCACACGACTGCGAGACAGGACAGGCCGGCCTGCCGTCCGGCGACCCTCTCACCATCGAATGTTGAGCCATCGCACGGCATTAGAGAGTAGGCGACCTTGGAGCCATGAGTCATCAGGACACTCCAACGGAGGTAGATTTTCAAAGGCAGACTCTGATGAAGGTGCTCTCGAGCCAAGAGGCTGGACAGGAGGAGCCCGCCCTGCACTCGTCCCGGGCAGCTGGCTGCGAATGCACAATAGAACCAGAGCGCTTCCGCCCGTCGGGTCACAGGGTGGCCACAACATTTCAGGGGTACATTGACGAAGCCGTCCCGCCATGCTTTCCCTCATCCTCGCCTCCTCCTCCCGCTCCTCCTGCTCCTCCTGCTCCTCCTCCTCCTCCTCCTCCTCCTCCTCCTCCTCCTCTTCCTCCTCCTCCTCCTCCTCCTCTCCCTCCTCCTCCCCTCCTGCTTCTTTACTCCTCCCCCTCCGCGTCCTCTTCGACGTTGTCCTCATCTTATTCCTCCTCCTCCTCCGTCCGCCTGCCTGCCTGCCTGCCTGCCTGCCTGCCCGTGAGCAGCGACACAAGCTCTCGCGAGAGATAGCGACCCCCACGCGCGGGCAAGGGACCCAGAGCGACATCCTGCCCTTGAGCCACCGCTTTCCCGGAGCTTCCTGCAGGTCTCCAAGAAGGTCCCGCATGGGACGCACAAGGACGTACTCGTACCACGTGTCATCCTCTGAGGCGTGCGTTCGACCCGAACATATAGTACACACATCTTATAGTATATCGCTTCTCGAGCGGCACGGCCAGAAAGCGCCCGCCACGCCGCGTGTACTAAAAGATTTCTCGGTGCGCGCGTCGCCCCTGGAAGGGCGACGCACACATAGAATTAGTCGGTTAGGGTGACGCCGACCGCAGGGAGGCCGCTCGAGGCCCCCCAAAACGCCGATGACCCCTGCGAACATTGATCCTCGATTATCGATCCTCGATGCCACTGAGCGTCGGAGGTCGAGACTGGTGTTCTGCGAGAGCCACCTTCCCCAGCTCTGCACAGCTGCAGCGTCTCCGACGTGGCTGCGCGCTCCCGCTGCGCTCTGCGACAGTCCTTCCCTGCTCTGGAAGATGCCCGTGCCACAAATCCTCCGCCTCCGCCGTCTCTTCCCCTCCTCCCCCGTCCTCCCTCCTTCCTCTCCCTCCTTCCCCCTCCCTCTCCTCCTCCCCCTCCCCCTCCCCCTCATCCTCATCCTCCTCCTCCTCCTTGAGGTCCCCCTCCTCCTCCTCCTCCTCCTCCTCCTCCTCCTCCTCCTCCTCCTCCTCCTGTCCACCCTTCCCCTCACGAAGGGGGGGAAATTGAAGTGGGCAATTGGCGGATCCTCCTCCTCCTCCTCCTCCTCCTCCTCCTCCTTCTCCTCCTCCTCCTCCTCCTCCCCAGGAAGTCCCAGGAACCCGAGGTCGGGGCGGCAGTAGCCCCCACGACGGACGCGTTCCCACCTCGCCCGCGTGGCTCCGCGTGGCTCCGCGTGGCTCCGTGCTGCTCCGCGCCGCTCCGGGCGCACGCGCGCTCGCGCGCGCCTCCGCAGTTGGGCTCCGCGGGGCCTGCCACAGGACCAGCATCGTCTGAACGATCCGTATCCCCACGGGGGGGGGGCTGGGCCCCACTGGCCAATGTGCCCCCCACCTGGATGGGGATGTATGCTGCTCCCTTCGGGCTTCGGGGGGGGGGGGGGGGGCAACTCTGGTGGTGGGCTGGTGGGGCTGAGATACTACGGCCAGGTGGTTGGCCTCCTCTCCCTCCTCATTCTCCTCCTCCGCCTGCTCTTCCTCCTCCTCCTCCTCCTCCTCCTGCTCCTCCTCCTCCTCATCATCATAATCATCATCATCAGCAGCAGCAGCTGCAGCAGCAGCTGCCGCATTAGCATCAGCATCAGCATCAGCGCCATCATCACCAGCAGCCTCGTTATCATCATCAGCATGAGTATCCGCATCAACATCGTCGCCATCATCATAACCACTACCATCCTTCGGGTGATGACGAGATTGTGGGGGGGGGAAGAGGGGGGGAACCAACATCTGACTCAATCGATCTCACTATCGATCTCACTCAACGGGACACCACGGGACACCACGGGACACTTGTCGATCTCACTATCGATCTCAATCAACGGGACACCACGGGACACCACGGGACACTACGGGACACCACGGGACACCACGGGACACCGCGGAACACCTGGCGATCTCACTATCGGTCTCACTATCGATCTTACTATCGATCTCACTCAACGTGACACCATGACACCACCGGACACCACGGGACACCTCGGGACACCACATCGATCTCACTATCGATCTCACTATCGATCTTACTCAACGGGACACCACGGGCCACCACGGGCCACCACGGGACACCTGTCGATCTCATTGTCGATCTTACTTTTTGGCACACCACGGGACACCTCGGGGCACCACATCGATCTCAGTATCGATCTGATTATCGATCTCACTATCGATCTCACTATCGATCTCACTCAACTGGACACCACAGGACACCACGGGACACCAGGGAAAACCGCGGGACACCGCGAGCCATCGCCAGACGAACGGACGGACGGGCGGGCGGGGGATAATCATGTGTCTTGACTTCGCCCTGGCAACGGCGGACACCACGGGACAACACGGGACACCGCGAGCCATCGCCAGACGGACGGACGGGAGCGAAACATGTGTCTTGACTTCGCCCTAGCAACGGCGGACACCACGGGGTACCGTGGGACACCACGGGACACCGCGGGACACCGCTAGAGCCACCGCCGGACGGACGGACGGACGGACGGACGGGGGAGCAACATTTGTCTTGACTTCGCCCTAGCAACGTCGGGTTCATTCCTTTCGCGCGCCCACGCAGCTTCGCCTCGCCCGCACGCACGACACGAACGAAACGAAACGATTTCCCGGGTCTCCGTTCCACTGCGATCTGACCCCCAACCTCTGATACACATCAGCGACGTCGTCAACAGCATCAGCATCATCATGCTCATCATGATGACCCTGATCATGATCACGATCATCAGCACCATAAGCGCCATCATCATCATCAACATCAATCCCCCTCACCAACGCCATCACTAGGTTCGTAATCACCATCATTACCAACACCATAACAAGAACTACCATCACCACCATCATCATCAGCATCACCGTCATGATCACCATCACCACCATCAGCGTCGCCATCATCACCAAACGAACGATACTCAGCACGGATCTCCCGCCCTCGAGCAGTCGCTACCAGAATGCTCGCCTGCATGCCATGGCCGGGGGGGGGATGCGCATCTGATAAAACAATGCTGATGAGAGGCTCTATCTAACCATATACCGATCGATATATATATATATGTATATATATACATATACATGTGTATATATATTGATATATCGATCGATCTGTCTATCTCTCTCTCTCTCGATATATATATATATATATATATATATAAATATGTATCGATCTACGTACCGATGCGTGCCTCGGCCGCGCGCGCGAGCCTCTACACGCGCGCGCGACCCTCCGCGCGCAAAAGCCGCCGCGCCACCGCGGCGGGGCGCCGCAGGACTCGCCCTCTGGCCCGTGGCGGCCTCGACGGCCGCCGCGGGCCGCCCGGACCCCTCGCGCGCGCGGGCGGCGGCGGCCCGTCGAGGCCGCGGTGCTCAGCACGCCTGGGGAGGCGCCTCGCCGCCGCCCGCCGCCGCCGCCGCCGCCGCCATCGTCGTCGTCGTCGTCGTCGTCGTCGTCGTCGTCGTCGTCGCAGCCGCCGGTGCCGTCGCCGTCGTCGCCGTCGTCGCCGTCGTCGCTGTCGTCGTCGTCACGGCCAACGCCGCCGCCGTCGTCATCTGCGCAGGTCAATCGAGTAATGTCGGTCTTGTCGGCACGCCGTGACTCGCTGGGGCCGCCTCGGCTCTGCTTCTTCGCATCCGTGGACGAAACAAAGCCTGTCGGTGAGCTCGCAAGATGGGACACGATGGACCCGTGCGTGTGACTTTCCGTAGGATGTAACTGCTTCGTGGTGTGCAGGCGTAGTCATTATCATATATGTTAACTGCGCGCGCTGCCAAGTCGCTTCCACATCAGCGCCTTTACCTATACGACCACCCTTCTGGTGATAACGAGGGTGTGTGGGGGAGGGGGGGGGGACCGACATCTGACTCAATCGATCTCACTATCGATCTCACTCAACGGGACACCACGGGACACCACGGGACACTTGTCGATCTCACTATCGATCTCACTATCGATCTCACTCAACGGGACACCACGGGCCACAACGGGCCACCACGGGACACCACGGGACATCGCGGGACACCACATCGATCTCACTATCGATCTCACTATCGATCTCACTCAGCGGGACACCATGGGACACCACGGGACACCACGGGACACCTCGGCACACCACATCGATATCACTATCGATCTCACTATCGATCTCACTATCGATCTCACTCAACGGGACACCACTGAAAACCACGGGACACCACGGGACACCTCGGGACACCACATCGATCTCACTATCGATCTCACTATCGATCTCACTCAACGGGACCACGGGACACCACGGGACACCTTGCGATCTCAGTATCGGTCTCACTATCGATCTCACTCGACGGGACACCACGGGACACCACATCGATCTGAGTATCGATCTCACTATCGATCTCACTATCGATCTCACTCAACGGGAAACCATGACACCACGGGACACCACATCGATATCACTATCGATCTCACTATCGATCTCACTCAACGGGACACCACGGGACACCATGGGGAACCAGATCGATCTCAATATCGACCTCAGTATCGATCTCACACTATCGGTCTCACTATCGATCTCACTATCGATCTCACTCAACGGGACACCATAGGACACCACGGGACACCCCGGGACACCGTAAGCCACCGCCGGACGGACGGACGGTCGGGCGGTCGGGGAAAATCAGTTGTCTTGACTTCGCCCCAGCAACGGCGGACACCACGGGACACCGCGGGACGGGCGGGCGGGGGAGAATCATTTGTCTTGTCTTCGCCCTAGCAGCGGCGGGTTCATTCCTCTCGCG